GGAGTACGCGTTTCTGTGGCGCAGAGAGGAGGAGGGAATCCTGATCCACTTTTGGGCTCTCCAGGTCGTCTGGGCAGGTTGGAACACAGAAAGGAGTTTCTGCGTTTTGGTTTCGATAGGAATTAGTTTTGATGTCGTTTCAAAACCCTCTACCCCAATGGTAGGAGGGAAGGAGGCAGTGCTGAAAACTTGACAAGGTAGAATTGACTTTTCAAATTAAAGTTGTTTCGACAACATGCATTGTATTTTAGGACTTTGCTGAATGGCCTCCCCCATCCTTCCTTTTGGAGGGAGGTAACTAGAGGGCGCCTGATTTATAGGCAAAGTTCTTACCCTCAGGTTGTTCAATGTTATGGCATTTTCTTTGCGTCTAGTATTCAAATCTATTCTGCTACAGAACAAGGAAAGTGAGGAATGCAAGGCAAAATTGCTTCTTGTCCCGATCTTGCCCCGACATGGTGTTTCTGTATTAGCACCCAGGAGGAGGAATATTTTGAGATTAAGAAAGGAATAGTGGACATTTATTCTGCAAATATTACAGAGCAGACTTTTTTTAAATGCAAAAGGTAGTATTATTACTTGTATATAAACGGGTATTTCTGAGGAAGGACTTAAAAAACACAGTGGAGATGCAAAGTTACATTTAATTAGAAAAGAGTTGAATCATAGCATTTTCTAAGATTTTCCAAATGATTAATACATGGTCAGATCTTTTTAACCGGTTACTTACTAATCGAGGAGAAAAAGCAATGGTGAAAGAGAAAAGGCAGATAGGTGAACTTTTGTGTTAAGGAAATGACCTGATTAATGGTTTAATTAATGGCTGGTTTTAGTATATCATCAGTATTCAATTATTCAGTGTCTTTATTGCTGGCATGCTTATTAGTACCGGTTAATTTAGCATTTTACCACTAAAAACAGGGGTGATCCAGCCAGTTTACCCTGGCTTAGGTGGCCAAGCATTGTTAACTTTTATGAAGAACATTTAGAAATGGAATATTAGCCGGCAAAGGTTTTTTTTTCTTTTCATAGAGAGATGATGGTGTAAAGAGAGTTAATTATGAGCTACTGACTTTTCATCCAAACATTTTCCACAACTCAGGAAATGTCCAATAATCCAAACAGTGGTAACTTCTGAACAGCTTTACAGCCAGTGAGTGGTTTAATTTATCAGCTACTGTCACTACTCTTTACACAGTTGACCTATGATGCTTTTCCAGCTCAAATTTTTTGGAGGTTGATTGCATTTTTTGTTGTTGTTGTGCAAAATCCGAATAGTGTACTAACCATTCAAATAGTACCTTTTTCATTTTACCAAATAAGTAGTCACTAATGCAGAAGTAATCAAATGATATTTGCATATCTTCTAAAAAGACAAGAATTAGACTTAATAGAGAAGCAGTTACAATTTCATAAACATTGTTTATATATAATTGTATTATTTATGTACACATGTAATTACTTTTGTGTGTGTGTATATATGTGTATATATATATACGAGAGATAGATAAATCATATATATGTATATATGAGAGAGATATATGTGTGTATATATGTGTATATATATATATATATATATAGAGAGAGAGAGAGAGAGAGAGAGAGAGAGAGAGAGAGAAGTATTTTTTTTAGGTTCAACTACTATATTCCTCCATACCTAAAACAGTGACAAGTTGCATACTGTGGGTTTTCTGCAATTGTTGGAATAATATGCCTCTCTGGATTCAGGAAAGGACTTGAAAATAGTACATAGATATATCTACATTATAATATTTAATTCCCCTTTGTGTGTATACGTGTATATATCTGTTACTCAATTGTATTGAAATTTAGAATTTAAAAAGTTACTGTGTCTGAATCAACAGGTTCTTCATATATGCTATATTTATGCCCATTTCACAACATAAGGATCTGAAATTTGACTTCTTCCTTTCCTTTGCTGGTTTCTCAATCAGTCATCATATTATCAGTTTTCTTGGAAACGTCTCATCAATACGTAGAGTCCACACCTAACCTGGAGTCTCATCACCATAGCCACCCATGCACACTGCCGTAGGGATCTCTTCTTGTCTCCAATTTACTCAACCTCTAATCCTTCTTCTTAACAAGTAATTTTCATTATATCTTAGTCTTTAATCGAAATGTTTGGTGGTTCTTTGTTCTTTTCAAACAACATCCAAAATTCTCAACTGACGGTTCAGGGTTTGCCCTGATCTAGCACTCTTTATCTCCTACGACCCATGTATCAGTTTCCTATTGCTGTTGTAACAAATTGCCACAGATTTTTTGACTTAAAATAACACAGATTTACTATTTTAGAATTCTGTAGGTCAGAAGTCCTACTGGGCTAAAATCAAGGTGTCAGCAGAGTTGTTTCTTCTGGAGGCTTGTCCTGCTTTTCTTGAACACGTTTGTGTCTTTCCATAATGCCAAATTTATTTCGTGGAATCTTCTCGGATAAACCAATCAGGTATCCATAAGTTAACAAACAGCACACATAGAGGGGAAGTACAGAGTCTTACGCGAAAGAGCAAAGAGATGAAAGTCCTTAGTGTCTCCAAAGCGCGCTCTGTAGACAGGCAGCACCGGTGGTTTCGCATTGGTCATAAGGTCAGAGTCTTAGCCTCAGCATGTAATTCTCAGGTCAAGCTTGAGCATTTCCTGAGGTGTTCAGCTCATATGGTCCTTACAGTGTGTAATCTTATGCTTATCGGCTCCTGATGTCAGGGGGCTTATCAACTGCAGTAGAGGCTGACATTTCCGTGGTTATAGGCAGTCTGGTCATACCCTAAGGGCATTCCTATTATGTGCTAGTTGGCTTTACTGTCATGACTCCCATGGAATCCATTGTGTAAAGTCCAAAATGTCCTCGAATCCTTAGGCTCTATATAAGGTTCTAGGGGAAAATCAATTTCCAGCTTCCAGAGGCCACCTGTATTTCTTGGCTTGTGGCTCTACCCTCCATCTTTAACTCAGCAGAGTCACATCTTCAAATCTTTCCTCTGACTCTGCTTCATCATCACATTTCCTTCTGACTCTGATCCTATTCCCTACTTCTCATGAGGATCTTTCTATTTACCTTGGGCCCACCAGTAATCCAGGATAATCTCTCCATCGCGAGATCCTTAATTTAGTCAAATATTCCAAGCCCCTTCGTCATATAAGGTAACATATTTACAGGTTCCAGATATTAGGGACAAGGACATCTTTGGGAAACCATTATTCTGTGTGCTAGAACCCCTAACCACAGACTTCTCATTTCCTTACTTTCCTCAAAATCCTCTTGGTCATTTTGTTACTGTGGATGTGGTCTTGTTATTTTATGCATCTAGAAAAGAACTCCACCCTTCCTTCCCACCACCCACTGCCATTTAAACAAACTCTCTCCAGCCTTCAAAGCTGGGTTTACGTCACAACAAACCACCACCATCCTAATAAATTTCCCATTAAGTTTAGAACTGTCTTGTATTCGTGTTTTCCAGTATTTAAAAATGATTAAGAAAGATGTTCTCCCTTATGTCCAAAAAAGTCTTCATTGTTATTTGGTCTATGTCAAAGACCCAGCAAAAAACTAGTGGCACCCATAAAAGATTTAACTGAAGACAGTTTAACAAAGGGACTGTTTACAGAGGAATTGTCAAAAGATGGTGGAGCATCTAAGGACAAACAGTGGGAAGAAAGCACCTGAAGCAACAGTAAAAAGTGAAGCTATTACGTTCCTCGGCCTGAGGAGGGCGCAGTGTCAGTTTGACCGAACTCCAGCTATGGGAGGGGGTCCTCTGGACTAGAGCTGGGCCACAGGAAGAGGAATGCAGCTCTTGCTAAAACTGAAGCCCAGAGTGGGGGAGCAGGGGAAATAAATACACTTTTCTTCCCACCCTCTAACATTGTACCCAGTCCTCCCACCAGGTATGTCCAAATGGCAGAATTCAACCTCCTAGGGGACAAAGGTCAAACATACAATAATAAAGTAACACAACTTAATGATGAACAGCACATATTTATTGAGATCATATTATGTGTCAGGCCCCGTGTCAAGTACTTTGCATGTTTTATTTCATTTAAATCTCAGAAAAGGGGAAATGTCATTTCCCAGAAACCCAGTGAAGTAATTTGACCCCTTGCCCCAGAGACATGTAAGCCCCAAGGACCTTTGCTTCTATAACGTACCACATGATATTACAATTAAATGTCTAATTGTCTGTCTTCCCAGCTTTCCGTACATTCTTGAGGGTAGGGTCTTTGTCTATTATCCTTAGCATCTAATAATGTGTACTCGAAACTTTGTTATTGAATAACTCATGAAAGAATAGACTATAGACAAACTCACAAAATACTTAAAAGATCAGATTGTCTCCTTTATTATATTCCCACCTGCTGCGTGTGTGTATATCCATATTTATACCTAATGAATGGAAGATAGCATCAATTGAATGAGTACCATAATTTAATCACTACTAAGAGAGAATTGCCAATCCAATTATAATTGCTAGTCTGTTAGATGCTTCCTAGTTTTAGAGATTTTTAAATGTGGGAAAATGTACATCTGATCATTATAATCAAGAACATATGGTGTATCTACATGGTAGCTTTCTATCACATTTCTTTGTACTTTTAGAAACTGCATCATAAGATTTAAAACATACTCCTTTGGGATACAAATGACACTATTTCTGGATACAAAGATATGAACATTGTCCTCTTCTTAGTTCTCTTCCAGAGCCAAGTTTATATCTGATTCAGGGGCTAATTACTCCTCTGGCATCATAAGCCTCACTAGATCCCAAGAACAGAAGTTCCTCTAAATACCTTTAAAAGGAAGCCTCAGGAAAAAGGTGACAATAAAATAATCAAAAAAAAAAAAAGGTTCCAGTAACACAGGATCAATGACTCTAGTTTTGGCAAACCCTAACTTTGTCATCATTTGGTGGTTAACACTAGGGCTCTGTAGATATGAAGGGACTTAATTTTCATCTAACATCTTTTATAATTTAAAAGGAAGATTAAAAAGTCACTAAGTCTTAAAAGGAGAATGACATGTATGCACTGGTTGGTGTTAAGAATTCACTTTAGTAAGAAAACATTAATATTGTTTTATCCAAACAGCAGATTTCTATAAACAAAATAACTGAGAAATCTGAATTGAAAAAAACACTGTAATTCAGATATTAAAAGGAGTAGAGATATATACTTTGTATGAATTATCTTAGATTTTCTGAAATAAAGGGAAATACTTAAATCTGACTAGGGCACCTAAATCACATTAGTATGTCAAATAATTAAGATGATTAAGATCTGTGTATTTTATTGTGGATCCTATAATCTCATCACAAATTACAAATTACAATGTACTTTCGAAATTATTTTATTAGCTATACTTTTAGTTTGCCAAATACTAAAGTTTGAAAATACATAGGTATTGACCAGTCTTGAAAATTATATATTTTATTGTAATATTTTTGAGAAAATGATCCTGTAATGTATAGGTATACATACAAACAAAAACACATCCACCTCCCCACCCACCCCCGCACACATTTTTGTTGATTAGATTTTCTTTATTTGGTAGGAGGTTTTGTATTGTTTGGTGACAATTACAAGTAAGTATTTTTAATCACAGGAAATTTAGATAGTACAACCAGTTCTTTAAAAAAAAAAAAAACTTTCTCTTTTCCTTTTCACCCTTTGCCTGAATTTAGCTGAGTAATTCTCCCAGTCGTCCACTTAGCTTTGCTTGTGGAGGTCGCATGGGCATCATGTACAATCTGAGGTTAGCACATTCTTTATAAATCAACTGCAACTAGATAGTCATAATCAGAGTTCTAGGTACTTATTCTGTAAAGATCATTTTTCAAACCTTGTATAATAAAATTGTCATTATATATTTTAAAACATTTTAAGACCTTTTCCTCAGTAAGAGGTGTTTAAAGTAATCATTTTTCTTATCCAAGCATGATATCTCAAAAAGTGAAAAAAGTTTCTAGAATCTAACCTTTTAAAAAATTTTTTAGTAATGTTATAAAATAGAATGTAAGTTCTCAATTTTAAGATATAGACAAGTTAAAAAAAATCTGAATTAAAGAACCACCATTTATTCTTTTATATAATAACTATGATTATGTAACAGTTGTGCTGGGTTCCAGAAACACAAAGACAAATGAAAGGTAGCCTCTGCCCTTCAGAGGCTCACAGTCTGAGAGGCAAGAGACCAAGAAGCAATGATGGGAGGAGCCCCCAAGGTGCTCTAAGCAGAGGAAGGAAAAGATGAGTTTGTGTTGCAGAAAAGTAAGCCTTGCAAAAAAATACAAGAGAGAAATAAGAAAATTTATATAGCCCCTATTATGCTAAGCCCAGGATATTCAAACAAGATTTTTATCTTTCAGGAGCCCATAACCCTTGCTGTTGTCATAAAACCAATTCTAACATATTATTATAGTAGGAAGGACTATAATCCATTTTGACAAAGGGTGCATGAACTACTTCAGGCAGCAGGGCCGACCAAGGTTTCCCTGGAGAAGAGGGGCTAGTATAAATAAATGCACCCAAACAGATTATCCATCAGTCAACTTTACTGAACCAGTTATTTTTCTAAGTTGAATAATTACGATCACGTGAAAGTGAGGCCTTGCCCCCATGCTTTGTCTTATCCAGATTTCTAGCTTCAAGCCAGGCATTCTTACAGATTTACCATAGTATCTTACATATTTATAGAGCTCCACAGTTAATAGAGCTCTATAGTTTACAAAGTAGCACAATCTCATTAGAACCTCATAAGGGATGCCAAATAAGAAAGGCAGGTATAATAATAAAGGCAGGACAGATAATCTTATTACAATTTAGAATGAAAAACTTGAGGTTAGTAGAGATTAGGGAAACTTATGCAAGGTTGCTAGAATCCAGCTAAGAAAGACCGTAACTCAGGTCTGCCAACTCTCGATGTGCAAATATTACACTTAGTATTGATCTTTTACCACTAAAATGGGCTTTAGAAAGAATAAAATTCAAAAGGTAATATGCAAAATTGAAAATAAATGTCAGTGTGAGATTATGGATATTGTTTTAATTTTTAAAATACTGATGCAGCATAATGTTTACAATTAAAACAATTTTAATTATTGAATTCAATTCCCTCAATTCTTAAGTAACAGAAACTGAGTTTCGAAAAGACTGAGTACTGCCAAAAGCTACAGTAAAAACAGCTGACAGAGTTAAGAACTGCAATCCAGGATGCTTGACTTCTAGCCCAATTCTCTTTTTTGACACACTAGAGGTATATCACAAACAATAAGTGAAAGCTTTTGGAATTAATAACTAATTTTTTTTTCTTCTGCAGAGAAATATGAATGTTATAGGAAAAAGTCAATATAAAGTAACTGATATAAAGGTTTCTATTTTCAAGGAACAAATAAATATAAAATTAGAATTTAAAGCAACAGAGCTAAATCATGGTTTCTTCATGATTTTGCTTATTTTGGTAAAGAATTAAAATACCATATAGTGCTATGCTATATAACTACTATAACTATAGCAGTTTTAAAATAAGAGGAATTACTTTTAAATTATTAAGTGAACTACAGTTGATAACAATATCAGTACCTTAAGAACTGTGATAATACAGCTGCCACACTTTAAATCTGACCCACTCAGCTTATCATCAATATATGAGTGCCTACTATGTTCAAGGAACTTGTCAAGGGTCAGTGGGGAGATGAATCCGCTCAGAGTTCAATAAGAAAGGAAAGATATGTATTCCAATTAATATAATGCATGGTTTCAAAGGTGAAAGAACATTTAAACTGGTCCTTAAAGATAACAGGTTTTATGGAAGCAAGAGTGAGAGAAAGTGACATCTTAAATAGAGAAAACAGCATGAGTTAAGGCAGCAAAGTAGAAAGTTCCCAGGATGTATGGGGAATGAATATTACCTCTGCGGTGGAGGGGACAAGTGGGAAATAAAGCTTGTAAAGCCAGATCATGCAGGCCTTGAATGCTAGAAGTATGTTCAATCGTTGAAGCATATTTATGTTTAAAAAGACAACCCAAAGCAGTTTGCTTCATAATTTAAATTTTTAAAAAAGAACCACAGAATTAACAGTCAATGTGTTTTCCACAGGTTTTAAACGTAGAAATATATGTGTATTTTTCTAAAGTAGAATATTGGGTCTTTCTCAAGGATTATAATGGCGAGCTAGGCTAAGAAAAAGGAAAACTGTTGAAAAGAAGAATATAAAGATTTTTAAAAAGTGATAAAAGAGCAAGAAAGGGAATGGTGCTCTTCGAATCCTCTGTGTTGGTTCTGAGCTGTCGAATCTTTGTTCAACCAGTGAAGGTGAACGTTAAAGGGAAGTGGCAGTGGATAACAGCACATAATTTGTGGTTGCAGAGATGATTTCAAGCATCCATAACGTAGCATTGCAGTAGTGGAAAGAGGAGAGAGTCTGTGGAGTTACACAGGTCTGATTTTCAATGTTAATTATGTGATTTTTAAATACATTTCTTCTCTGTAGTTCATTTTTTTAAATCTATAAAATGAGAATATTGACTTTAGAAAGAGCATAGGAAAGTACCTGGTGAATATTCAATAAATGATATCTCTTCAATAAAAAACTAACTTTTATTAAGATTCTACTATGTGCCCGCCACTGTGATTCTGTGGTTTTTAATCCTTGGCTAACTTTGGAGAGGAGTGAATTGTGATCAAGGAGAACCTTAAAGTATCTCCTCTATCACCCTCCTCCTCTTCCTCTCTCCCTTCTCGTCCAGTTAGGAATTCTTCTAGGTTAACAAGCATCTTTCAAAAAGATACATTGTCCTTTGGAGAGGCAAGCCATCTTCACACTTCAGTGTGATCAGTTCCTTGCTCAGTGAAAAACTGGTGAATCCTCATGGAAGTGGAAGGAGAAGGCGGCAATCTGAATTACGGACTTTGTATCAAACTCTATGATAGGAAAGTGAGGGAGGAAGAGGGAAAAAGTAAGTAAGGAGAGAGAGGGAGTTAGAGGAGAGGCCACAAAACAAAAACAGTTCTAATCTGCACTCTATCTTTAGAGGGGACCTTTGTGTCCCCTGACAGTCTCTGATAATTAAGACTTGAGTATCAAGATTTGTGCCAAAGTCAGATTCTTCCCTTTACCCTGGTCTCACCAGCTCAGGGTGGTAAGATATGTGCGTAGGACCCCTCTCCCCTCCACCCCATCTTAACTCTTAAGAAAACTTTAGTGGGCTTTTTCTATTCACTGGTCTTTTAAAGAGGCAATCCCCACTCCTCAAATTCCCCCCTCCCCGAAATGTTAAGCCATTTAAGGATTTTCTTTAAAATTAATTCTGTAACTAGCCAGTGGAGTCGGTCCTAGTAGAAGTTTCCCCCCACTTTCCACATCCCCAGCTCTCAGCTTTGGCAGTGAATAGCCCGCCCTAACCTATTGCAACCCAACCCCCAATCTAAACATTTCACCAGCTACTGAGCTGCGGAAAGCTGAGACTGCCAATTTTGGATTCTGGGATTCCCAGGACATCAGGGAAGGCAACTGAGAGGTCCACCCAGGGGTAAATTCCACAGATGGTTTCTTCTCTCTCTGGGAGCAGTGCTTTAACATCTGGCTTAATCAGATCCCGCAGGCACGGTAACTAAGCTCAAAAAAAAAAAAAAAAAAAACCTGAGCGCGTTGCTGAAAGCCCAGACTGACCCGGACCGGTCGTTGTTAGAAACCGGTTCTGGAAATACAAGCTCCAAAAGGCGTGTGGCGTCTGAGTGTGCATAAAGCAAGAGTAAAGCTGAGTATGTTTTGAAACTGTGGTACCAAGTCTGCTCTTCTGAGAGCTACTTTTACATAAGTTTTGAAATTGGATTTACCCGAAGGGAGAAGGTGTAGAGTGGCAACTGCTCGCAGCTTAAAAAATATATACATTTTCACTCACATAGTCCCCAGATTCTTCACAAACGGGTAGGGAAGTAAAAACTTAGGAAGTCCAAGTTCAGCATTAAAATAAAAGACTCTCCACGAAGGATATCACGAACTTCCTTTAGAAGACATTCGTCCACGCTTCGTGCCGCTGCGCACGCGCAAGCTTCGGCCCCGCCTCCGCAGTCGGGACGTACAACGTGCTCCGGGAGGCGGGACGCGGGCTACGCATGCGCCCTCATTGCATCAGCCACTTGGTTGGTGGTGGCTGCTGCAACAGCGGAGGAATCTATGTTCCCTAAGGTGTCCCTTGCGCTGCTGTGGCTCCGCGCACCCTGGACTAAGAAAGGAAGGACTAGAGTAAGTGTTCCCCTCGTCCGCTAGACTCGGAGCTAAAGTGTCTCCTTCCCGCCGGGCAAGGGGCTATAGGAACCTCATAGGCAGTCCCCGCCCCTTTCCCTGCCTAGACTCCCTGTCCCCTCCTTGCCCCTCTCCCGGTCGGGAACCCCTCGGTCCCTCCTGTTCTGGCAGTGAGCCCCTGCCAAGATCATGAAGCTGGTGAGGAAGGACATTGAAAAAGACAATGCGGGCCAGGTGACCCTAGTCCCCGAAGAACCTGAGGACATGTGGCACACCTACAATCTAGTGCAGGTGGGCGACAGCTTGCGCGCCTCCACCATCCGTAAGGTACAGACTGAGTCCTCCACGGGCAGCGTCGGGAGCAATCGGGTCCGCACTACCCTCACTCTCTGCGTGGAGGCCATCGACTTCGACTCTCAAGCCTGCCAGCTGCGAGTTAAGGGGACCAACATCCAAGAAAATGAGTATGTCAAGATGGGGGCTTACCACACCATCGAGCTGGAGCCGAACCGTCAGTTCACCCTGGCCAAGAAACAATGGGACAGTGTGGTTCTGGAGCGCATCGAGCAGGCCTGTGACCCAGCCTGGAGCGCTGATGTGGCAGCTGTGGTCATGCAGGAAGGCCTCGCCCATATCTGCTTAGTCACTCCCAGCATGACCCTCACTCGGGCCAAGGTGGAGGTGAACATCCCCAGGAAACGGAAAGGGAACTGCTCACAGCACGACCGGGCCTTGGAGCGGTTCTATGAACAGGTGGTCCAGGCCATCCAGCGCCACATACACTTTGATGTTGTAAAGTGCGTCCTGGTGGCCAGCCCAGGATTTGTGAGGGAGCAGTTCTGCGACTACATGTTTCAACAAGCAGTGAAGACTGACAACAAAGTGCTCCTGGAAAACCGGTCCAAATTCCTTCAGGTAAAAGTCTTATCCAGGGATAATTAAGAATGGGCAGAGGGATTTGTGTAAACTATTCCTTAAGTTTTAGAATTGGGAAAAGTAGAAAAGGAGAAAGTATTTAACTGGGATTGTGAAATAATGAAAAGACCTGTTAAATAGCTAGCAAGTTTATATGGTAAACTTTGCTTAAGTCCTTAAACATGTAAAGCCCCGTTAGTGCTTCTGGCATTAGGTCATTGTGAGTTGATATATGGGTTCACTAAGAGATTCTTTTGTCTAATTTTTATAATTGTGATTCTAGGTACATGCCTCCTCTGGACACAAGTATTCCCTGAAAGAGGCCCTTTGTGACCCTACTATAGCTAGCCGCCTTTCAGACACTAAAGCTGCTGGGGAAGTGAAAGCGTTGGATGACTTTTATAAAATGTTACAACATGAACCTGACCGAGCTTTTTATGGACTCAAGCAAGTGGAGAAGGCCAATGAGGCCATGGCAATTGACACATTGCTCATCAGCGATGAGCTCTTCAGGCACCAGGATGTAGCCACACGGAGCCGGTACGTGAGGCTGGTGGACAGTGTGAAAGAGAATGCAGGCACTGTTAGGATATTCTCTAGTCTTCATGTTTCTGGGGAACAGCTCAGCCAATTGACTGGAGTAGCTGCCATTCTCCGCTTCCCTGTTCCTGAACTCTCTGACCAAGAGGATGATTCCAGTTCTGAAGAAGATTAATGATTGGAACTTATAATTGAGACAACCTTGTGTCTCTTTCACTGTTACATTTTCTCAGCATCCTTGTGAGAGGAAGCTGCAAGAATGGCACTTTATGATTCTTACAGGGACTTCTCATGTATTTGGTCACACTAGATATTTTACAATTGTCAGGACATATATTTAAAACTAAACAATAAATTGAAAGGAAATAATCTTTAAGTACTACCATTTTTATTAGGATAATGTTATATAGGAATTATGAGTTATTTGCATTACTGAGAAACATTTTGTTTATTTAATAAGAATGCCTATATATTCTTTGGAATCATAAGATCTCATACTTCATGCTTTGAAATAGTTTTCCTTAGGAAAAGATTTTTAATATTTCATTATCCTCAGTTTACATTGTTTATTTAATTCTGCATTGTATCCTTACAGTGTTTAATCCTTTTTCTCTCCACTTCCCTTACACTTCATTTTTTTTAATTTTTAAGTTTATTTGCTATTTTAAATAATAGTCAAATAATTAGTAGACTTTTTTCTTTTTTTGGCTTAAACGACAGTCATTTATTTTCTCACAGCCTGGAGGCTAGAAGTCCAAGGTCAAGGTGTTGCTAGGGTTAGCTTATTCTGAGGCCTCTCTCCTTGCCTTGTAGATGGCTGTCTTCCTTCTTTGTCTTAACATTATATTTCATCCTGTGCATGTCTATATCCTAATCTACTCTTTTTTTTTTTTTTTTTTAAATTAGAGTTGACAGTCTTATGTTAGTTTCAGGTAGTAGACTTTTCTTGAAGACAAGTTTAAAATGGTATTTAAAACTAAATGGTATTTTTATAACTTGTTCAAATAATCATGTTAAAAATAAACTCTCGAGCTTCTTTTTGTTAGAATTAATCATTTGCTTCAGAGGATCACTGAATCACTTTTTAGATCATAGAGCTTTGATCTGCTAGAGTGTCTCAAAAATAATCAATTTGAGGCATCTTTATTTTTAAAATGAGACTCAGGTATGTGATTTGCTGTTATGTGGCTAATTAGTGACAAAGCTGGAAGTAGTCCCCTGTCTGGACTCCATTTATTTGCACTGCTCCACTATATATTTTTTAGCTTGTCAGAGTTATACTTAATGTTATGTTTGTATATGCTTTCACATTTTTATTGGACTTTCTCTATACCTTATTTTAGGGGTAAGAAAACCTGTTCAGAAAGTTTGAGAACTTATATAGTATGTGGCAGCTGATTTGTACTCATTACTCTTTACTATAATTAGGAAATTTCTGCAAATACTTGAGTGTTTGAAATATTCTCTTTATTATAAAGTTTTTTTAATGTGCATTTCTAACTGTTAAGAAGGGAGCGTTGGAATAGAATTGCATCTTGACCTTTTACAAACCTCAACCTAGCAACATAATTAGAGAGGCCTTGTGAAGAAAGATAATTACATTTGTAACTCTAGGGTCAGTGGTACTTTCTTTAAATAGGGATACTAAGTAAACTTTTGATTGTACTGTTTGAGTCTAGGTCTTTCTGCTGGTGTGAGTGCCAGATTTGGTGATTATTTTTTATAAACTTCCTAACTAAGCTGAACCTTTTTATTCGTAATTGCGAATAGACACCTCCACATTCTTTAAAATCATATTTTACATAGCTACATCCTAATCTAAAAATAATCCAGATTGTCATTTCATTATAATGCCATGAATATTCAACTTTAAAATATTGTTAAAAGTATGTTATTAAATAATTTGGTAGGAGTATATAAATGAAGCCACTAAGAATCTTAATTTTAAAACCTGATTGATAATGAATCATATTCTCAGTAAGAATTTGGAAATTTGGGGCATCTGTTACTCATAATCGATGAAGTACTGATTATTCTTAGCTCCGTTATCTATGGTAATAGAATCCAGGAGAAGTAAAACCTACCAATAAATCTAACCAATCCATTTTAGGCCATAGGTTCTCAAATTTAGCTGTTCAGGAGTTTTTAAAACTCAATACCCAAATTGGACCTCAGATTATTAACCTTTCACTCCTAAAAATGCTGTTGTTTTTTTTTTAAAGTTCGCCATGTGATCACAATAGGCATCAAAGCTGAGAACCACTGATTCAGGCCTTACTATTCAAAAGTATGGACCAGCAGCAACCCCTGAGAGATTGTTAGAAACTAGAATCCAGGTCTCTACCCTAGACCTACTGAGTTGCATGCAGTCTATTTTAAGGACATCTCCAATTCATTGTTGTGCATAATAAAATCTGATAAACATAGGCAATAGCTTATTCTTTATATTCTAAGAAATCTCTGGCTGAGGTCGCCAGCCATAGAGAACAAGATTTGAGTTTTAAGTTCTTTCAAGAGAATTAATTGGCCAATATTCAGTTTAATTATCTGTAAAACTTCTCTAAATGAAAATGTTTTTGTACCTATAAAGTATTTAAAATATCTTTAAGAATTCCTATTTTAAAAAAGTTACATTTTATACCATTATTAAGAATACAGATCTTCCTAGATGCATAGGTAGAAATATCAAAATAATGATAGCATATAAAATAAAAAGTTCTAATTATTTTTTTTATTATTCTCTAAATAGCAAAATGAGGCATAAAACTGGAAATCATACATAGTAGTCTAATTCCAACTAAAACCATGTGGTAACATGGGAACACTACTAGTAGCATACCTCTCAATGCAGTGTACTGTAAATTTCCATTTACCATTAGATACTTGTAAACAATTTGTCACCCCCACTAGGATCAATATGAGAAGCTTGCAAATTGTTTCATTTTACTCTGGATATAATACTAAATTACATTGGGCTATTCCTGGTCCCCCATTTATGTTAAATATTTTGCAATTTTTTATGTCTGGTTGTTAATTCTGGATTTCCCTTTCATTTCTTCCTTAAATACAAGTTGGGTCTCTTTCTTCCTAGATGCCACTGGAGTAGCTTTGTAAAGCTAATTTTCCATTATCTCTTCTTTCTGTCACTAATTTCCTTTTCTAAAACATGGGACCAGTTCTTTCAACCTCAAAATCAGATGGTTTTCCAAGCAAATAAGACTGGCTATCTGTGTTCAGTGTCAAAATACGTTGAATTGCATGTTGAACAGGAGTTTCTAAGATGATTCTGAGGGTTTGAGGAATGAAGAACCCTTTAGCCTGTGGCTGGAGCTTAGATATGGGGTGTCTGTGTTTATATTACACCAGTCAAAAAGGGTAATACATTTAATTTTATCCATTCATTTTTTTTAGTATCTACTTTGAACCAAGCACTGAGCTGAGTTTTGGAAAGACAAAACATGTAAACAAATAACTGTTACAAAGTAGCCGTAGAAGTATTTAAGAGGGCACAGTGTTGTAAGGAATCACTTTTGAGAGGAACTTTTATCGAGAGCCAGTAAATTTACCCAAAATGGTGATAACCTGGAGAGATTATCCGGAAGAAGAGGAAGGCAGAGTGAGTGTGCTAATCACATTAGACCCTCATACCACAATAAAAAGTATGAGTATCAGAAACCCATAATGAGAAACTACTGAAAAGTTTAAACAGGAGAATGGCATGATAAACTGCATTTCACAAATATCATTGTTTAGCAGCATCAAGGATGGGTTGGAGGAGGCAAAATTGCAGCCAGTAACACTGGTTAAGAGAATGCATACTAGGAAAATCCAAGGGAAAAACAATGATAGCCTAAACAAAGGCAGTAACACCATTTCTTGCAATAGGAATGAAGTCAATAGGATATTAGGAGGTAGAATCAAAAGGATTTGGGCTCCTGATTGTCTTTCAGAGTTATGGAAAGAGCAGAGCCTACGGGTAAATAAATCTCAGATTTTTTTCTTGATGGCATGGTTCAGAAACAGGAAGTATCAAAAGAGAAGCCATCTTACAAGGAAAAAGTTTAATTTTGAATCTTGGGTTTAAAGCATCCATGGGACATTTGGCTGGCATGCTTTTTTTTTTACCAAGTTTTTGTATACTCACTTCCTTAGTCCCTTCAGATTTTTGCTCAAATGTTGCCTTTTCAGTGCCGTCTTTCTAAACCAGCCTTTTTAAAAAATGTACCTTCTCCAAGATTCTTTTCCCCTTCCTTGTCTTTTTTTTTAACCTGTAATGTTAATTGCACTTAGTAGTTTGGCTTATCATTTGTGTAAAAGGTAAGCTCCATGAGAGTGGATATTATGGTCTGTTAGGTTCATGGTCCACTCTGTAACACTAAGAACAATTAATGGCACAGGGTGGATACTCAAAAAAATTTGACTAAATGAATGACCAAATAAATGAATCTATATTAAAAGATCCCCTAGGCAATCGTGCATGCAGATCTAAAGTTCAGGAAGAAGCAAGTGTCTGAGATAATGATACAAGACATTTCAGCGTATAAGTGCCCCTGAAATCATAGAAGAAAAATGACCTAGCAAGAATTAGTAAAAGAAAAAAAGAGAGCCAGGCACAGGAGCATAGGGAAACAGCAATATTTAATCTCTTTAAATGCTACTTGACTCCATTATCTGTACTATAATCATTTAAAGCAGAGGTATTTATTTCAACAATTGATGTGGCTGGATAATTACTTTTTCTTCTACAGATCTCTATAGCATACCAGAGATATGCATGTAGAATAGTTAAAGTATTGATTTCATAGAAATTGAATTTTTAAAAGTTCTTAAGATAAAAAATTTCTAAGTTTTGAGGGCAAAAGCAAAATTACTTTCTATATGGTTTTTAAGTGGGTCTTAATATACATGTACATTTCCAAATTTAGTATATGAAAAGTTTCAGTTTTATAAAAAAAAACATATATTTTAGAAATGACATTCGAATTTGTTAGGAGACAGTTTCAAGATTCCCATAGTACTGGAATTATTAGCAAGCTCTATCTTTCTTATTCAGGCCAAAGGGTTACTGGCATTGGACCCTTAGTCCTTGTGCTCGCTGTCCTTATCTCTGATTTCCTCACCACTTCCTCTTTTACTCCCTGCAGAACCACAGCTGTCAGAATTGTGACATAAATTTTACGAAGTTTTATTTATATTTGTTTTAAAAATTGATTTTGATCAGCCATAATTTTGTTGATATTCGTTTTTCAGTAAATGAGTTCCCAAGCAGTGAAGTGCAGCTAAAAAAAGAATTACGGTTTCAGATAGTTTTTAAAACTCTGAATAAAATGCTTTTCTTCATATTGATGTATGTTTAAGCCTTGGGCTATGATTCAG